TCTTCGGCGTTGTTTTGTTGATACACCTTTCTGGTCAAGTTGGTAGTTCCACATTGTATCTTCGACAAGAATTGCTTCCAAACGGGCGACGGACAAGAGCGCAACACGCCAAGCGCCTTGGCCCCGTTTCCAGTTGCCCTCGTCAATGACTCTCTCACTCCTTTTTTTCCCCCTGCAGAGTACTCTATCTGTATGCAACTCGTCTCTTCTTTTTTCCCTCCATCGTTGCAATCTCGATGACTGGCCGTGAGATTGATCAACTGCCAAGTTTCGTTACAAGCCCGACAATGTGGTAAAAGGTGGAGAGAGTCAGAGGGGCGGCAATTTATCTCGAGCGGCATCTCGAGACGAGACGTTGTCACCGCAAAAGGTTTGTTTTCCTGGGGTAAATTGAATTGATCGATGTATTACTCGATGCTATGTCAATCTGCGTTCCCTCGGGTCTGATAATTTTCCCGTGGCCCTACTCAGGTACCTGACGTTGTTGAGGTTCTGTCACGGCCAACCTTCAAGTAAATTGAGCCAAAGCCAACACAACCCCACCTCCATTGAGGCATCTTGGCATAACGGCCAGAAAAAATAATTTACTTCCCGCTCGCCGCACTAGCGATTTCCCTCTTTTGGCCACCCCCAGTTGTCCCAAATCGTTCGGACTAAAGCAAAGTCAAGAAGAAAGAAGGAAAGTATGTGATGATGTACTTTGGTTCCGCCAGAGTTTGAAGATTGTTGTGCTATTGTTTGGAAAAGGGAACCCGCTTTACCCAAGTAGTTTTTTGTTCAACGTTCTTTCGTCGTTGGCGATCCTCGTAAGCGACCCTCGTTTACCCTGACGAACGTCGAAATGCCCCCCCTCTTTGTTCTCATGTTCCACAAGAACAAAGGAGTTCGCCGTTACTGGCGGCCACGCCTCCCACGAGTTCGCCATCGCCGGCTCCCACATTGGAAACGGTCCATACCTCCACCCTTATTCCACCCAGCAGCTGGCTGGCTGGCCTCACCGCAGCGTTGGGTGAAGAGAAGAGAAAGAAACGCCATACGGTGCCATGCCACGCCACGCCACGCAGTAATCTATTTTTGCGACGCTGGCGAGAACGGCGGGCCCGCGCAAGGTTCAAGCAAAAGATCCACCTGGCACCATGGGATCCTTGAGATGGGATAGGAATCATAGGTTGCCAGTTTACAGGGGGGTCTAAAAAACAGGCAAGGGGTTCCGGCACAATACCAAAATAACTTTATATATAATTATATGACCTACTAAGTACATAATATATATATATATATATTATTATTATTATTTAAAGTCTAATTACTTAAAAATAATAATAGAGTTTTAAAAAAATAATACTGTATTTAACTAGGGTATATACGCTAACGTAGTTTATCAGTCAGCCGGACGTTTTTTTCTAAACATACTTATGTCCAAACCATTTAAACCTTTAACGCGAAAAATCTTAATAACCATAATACCAATTTATATTTATAAAGATAAAGTCATTCTTACACTAAGAGGTTAGAGATAGGCAAAAAGGGAAAAGGTAAATAAGTTGAGGTACGAGTTAGGATAATCAGAGAATCGATTGTATTGATGATTATTCTATGATATGATGGGAAAGTATAGTCTATATATAATATATAAATATTATATATAATTATATGTAATTATTTGTGATCACATGTGATGCTTAAGTTCAAGCATTTATTATTAAGTTTATACGGGCATATATGCTTGTCGGCGCTTTAACATATATATGTAAAGCGTGTTTACATACGGGCTGTACGTGCGTACAAAGCGTTATATCTCAGTAGATACGTACTTCAATTGAGCCTCTTATTACTATATAACTTCTTAAGCACGTAACTTCTATAGTACCTGTATTTATAAATTATAGATATATTATTAAAATCGTGGAAAATCACTAAGTCTAAATATATTTATAAAACATCTGTAGCCTTTATATTTATTTGAGATATAAATATTTATTTCTTATATTATAGAGTACTAGTTTTAGGATATTAATTAAGTATAAGTTTTGGAATTTTAGTAAATATTCTAAGTCATATGATTACATGTAATTATATGTAATATTCTTATATTATATATAGACTATAATTTCTCATCATATTATAGAATAATTATCAATACAATCGATTTTCTGATTATTCTAATACATAATATATAGAAAATATAATAATTAACTAGTTAGTTATACTATAGAATTATTAATAAATTATTTTAAAAACTAAATTACATAACTTTTTAAAAAAGTTTCAGCCAATATAAGTAAAAGTTTAATATAGACTTAATAAATCTTAAGTAGATCCTTACTTTATATAAAATATAAATCTAAAAGCGGTTTATTATTATATACATAACGTGGTTTACCAGTCAGCCGCGCATATCAGGCAGCCGCGCATTTCCTTATCGTATACTAAGTCGCCTACATTATATAATTAATATCTTTTTCATTGTTAGTTATATAACGTTCAAAATTTTTCATTAGTCTTTGATAAGAGTCATCAAACTAAATAAAAAGTTTTAAAAATTAATTTCTATTTAGAGATAGAGTAAATATATTATATCCTTATCAAAGACCCATATTTCTATTCCACTACTTATTTCAATATAAAAAGATTAAAGTGTCTTTTTCTATTAAATTTAACTAGTTATATTTTAAATATATTATAAAGATACTGAAATCTTTCTAATTAGTTATTATTCAAAGAAATTAGGTAAATATGCAATTTAGTATGTGATAAGGAAATGCGCGGCTGACTGGTAAACCACGTTATAGTTATAGCGAGTTATATATAAATTTAGTTTAAATTAAGAGTATATATTTTAAAAAATTCTAATTATAGCGCTACTATATGGGGCCTAAGGCCAATAGATAAATTTATATAAGTTACTCCCGAGGTTTTCTTATACCCCCCTGCCTATTTTTCAGACCCCCTGGGAAACTGAACTCCGGGGAATCATGGGATAGGAGCGCAGAGGAACTGAACCCCCCACAATCATCATGCACGTTAACCCCTGCACCGTCACACAGCGCCCACCACGTCGATCCAAAAGTCGATCCCCGCGCTCCGTTAGAATGACAGATGATTGGTCTGTTCTGTGCAGACGACCAGTGACAGATTGCTGAAAATAGCAGCGTAGCCGCCCAGAGGGACGGGACAAGGTGACGCTAGAGCAGTGATGCGGCTGGCGGGAAATTCTACGATTGGATGAATGGAATGGAATTACATGAAAGACGCAGGAAGCAGGGCGAACAGACGGCTTTTCTTTGCAGACTTTCGATGCCCAAAATGACTGTTGTTCAGGGGAAAATGCGCTCGCAGTGGTGCATCTGATCTGGGCCGTATCTTGGGTCCGGAGAATAAGGCACATTCGGGATAGTTGATTCGCTCTTCAACTTGTCAAGTTTGGTTTATTTCTGGGAATTTCTCTCTCGTTTTCATTTTTAGGTACGGGGACGCGGGTATGTCGTGTGATGGAAGTGCAGTAGCTTCTATTGAAGCCCGTTTCTCACTCAACTCGCTCACACTCACGACTCTTGATTTAGAAACATGATCGATGAACTAAGCTCCATCTCACCCAGTCTTATTGCCAGGCAAGGCAAAGTGAGGCAGCTTACCAGGCGGCATGAAGTCGTACGCGTAGGTCGTCAGGTAAATCGAGCTTAGCTCACCTCACCTATCGGGGACAACGGCCGACGCTCTCAACTTGAACGGTCCCTCACAATGATTAGTATACCTTTGGTATGGTGCTAGGTCAAGGGTCGAGAACGCGTGGTATAGCTGGTGGCACGTTTGATGACGGGCTGAGATAGATGACAGGCGGGGCCGCCTCGGTTGCTGTTTCCAGGTTTCTCCACCCCTTCTTTCTTCTACCTCTCTGTCGCCCGTTCATGTAACGTAGACCCATTCTCTCACTCGTGTCTCCCACATTCCTTGGCAGAAGCTCGTTGTCGCCTTCACGTGGGGTGTCAACTGTCTAGGTTCTAGGTACCTGTGTGGAGGGGACGGGAAGGGCATGACTGAAAGGTGTGCATCACTGCATGGCATGTAAACTAAAGACGAGAAAACGAGGAAGATCATGAAACAAATCCTCGCCCGCCTATCCATAGCTCCCCGTTTACACTCTGCTCGCCGTCGCCGCCTCCTTTGGGAACCCCTGCTTTCTCCGAAGGTAGGTAGGTACCCCTGCCATGATCAGAAAGCCAGAGCCACGATACGCACGCGGCGCACCACGTCGTCCAACATTGTCATCTAGAAGAGACGGGTTTCATCTTTCTTTGGCGCTGAATGAGTAGCCCACGCACCTACGTAGACGACTGGTAGAGTTTCCCTTGTCACATACGCCACGCCACGCCACGCCAAACCTTTTTTATCCCACTCTTTTTCTGATCTTCGTCTTCCATGTCTTCCATCATCGTCACCGCCGCGGTATTGTGCCATGTCCCTTTCTCACCGTATTTTTATGCAACGGGTACCTTGTGTGGTGGTAACTGTGGTGTGCATCTCCAAGGTACCTCACCGGCCAGCATCTGCGGGGGGAAGAGAAGAATAGGAAGAGAACACCCATGTCCCTGGTACCTATTCGTAAGCGTCAGTGGGGTTCAACGTCCGAGGTATCTCATCCACACCTCGTGTACGAAGTACATCGGCAGATAGCTGCTTTCCCCTTCGGGACTATGGGGACTTACACACCAAAGGAGGAGGCGACGGCGGCGGCCACATGCCCACCTCATTCTTCCTCTATACCCATAAGGCTGTTTTGAGTTGCATCGCAGCAACAACGAGATGGGCTTACAAGGAAGGTGCGCAACGGGGTGGGCTCCTCCTGCATACGAGTTCGGAGCGTGCTCTTCTGCGTCTTGTTTCAGATTTTTTTGGGTAAACCCTTTTAACCCTTTTTTTTTTGGGGGGGGGGGGGGGGGTGCGGTGTTACATGCAAGTTGCCAACAGACCGGTTTATTGATATAACCTCATCATCCTCCCCCTCCTCCAAGATGTAGAACGATGCTCCAGCAGTAGTATTTTGGTGTTTGTGTTTTCTCAACATTCGCGCAAATCTAAGCCTGGCGCTCAGTGTCTCCTTATCACACTCTCTTCGAATAGTTCCTTTTATTAAAACTGTAACCTTCATCGACCTGGCGTCACCTATTTCGACTTTTCTACTACCTTTATTTCTCATCGACCACGAAGAAGAAAAACATTTAACCAAAACCTACCCAAACACAATGGATCTCAAGAGTCGCATCTCGTCGCCTCTGGAGGCCGGCACCTCTATTCTCGACGTCCAGCACTTGCCGCCCCATCTCAACGAGGCTCTCGAGTACGCCTCCAAGCGCCTCGCCAGAAAGGCCCTCCACGTCACCCTCGTCGTCGCCCGCCGCGAGTACCAACTCCCCACCCTCGTCCCCTCCTCCTCCGCCTCCTCTTCGGCCTGCTCCTCGGTCCTCTCCTCGCCGACAATGTCGCCGGTCCCGGCCTCGGCATCCAGCACCTCTTCCGTCTCGTCTTCGTCCTCCCGCTTCAACTTCTCCACCAAATCGCCCGTCTCCTCCTTCAAGAAGCTCGTCCGCACAAACACCGGCTCCAGCGTCTCTTCCGTCTCCTCCGTCTCGTCGGCCGGCAGCAGCAACGCCCCCGAGAGCTTCGTCTTCACGCCCTCTTTCCTCATGGACACCAACGGCCCGAGACTGAGGTGGCCCCTTTCACCCGGCATCCCCCTCTCGCCGCCGCCCATGACGCCCTCGACGGCCTCTTCCACCATCACCGACGCTTCCGGCCCCATGTCGCCCAACCCCTTTGGCATCCGCCTCGTCCACGCCGACCTGCTCACCGACAAGCAAGAGAGGACTCTGCGCCAGACCATTGATCGGGCAGAGAGGAAATTCCGTATTGGGTACGTGTTTTCCCCCTAAAAGCCCATCAATCACCTCACTAACACACTCTCCTCTTCAGAACCGAATGGCTCCCCCCGGTAGTAGACGGCTCCGCCTGCGGCCTAACAAGCAGCCTCATCCGCCGCTCCATCGTCCAAAACGAAGTCCTCTTTGCCGCAGAGGGCCTCACCCTCGTCTCCCTCGACCGCCTCTACACCTTCAAGGCCGCCCTCTCAAGCTACTCCCGCACAAACGCCCCTCTCCGCCTCGAAGACGCCGTCGACGAGCTCCGCCGACTCGTCCTCTCCCGCGCCGGCAACAAGGTCGCAAAGTCGGACATCCTCCGCTCCTACGACTGGCTCAGCGTCACCGACGTCGCGCTCGCCGACGTCGACAAGATGTACCGCAGGGCCTACGGCGGTCCCGGCAGGATAGGTGCCATCGAGGGCGTCGGCGCCGCGGCGCAGGTGGCGAGGACGGTGAGGGAACTCGAGCGCGAGGTCGACGAGACGCTGGCTGGCACCGCCGCCGCCATGGACGCCATCATTCACATCGCCAAGCCGCCTTCGCCGCCAAAGGGCCCCGTCCTGAAGCTGCAGACAAACTTTGACGTCCGGAACATGGTGGCTGCGCCGATGGAGGTCTCAGAGGAGGACGAGGACCTCACGGCCCGGCCGGAGCGTCAGCCTCCCGTGTCCATCTGGAGCCCCGTCTCCATCGCCGAGGTCCTTCACGAGGACCGCCGCAGCCAGTCGGGCCCGATGACGCCCAATGGCTACGATGATATCTCGCCCATCACCCGCGGCGAGTGGGGGTTCCTCATGGGACCTGCCGGCGTAGGCAGCGGTCGCACTGCCCCTGTCATGAGATGCTGAGCGGCGATTTTGTCCATTTTCTTGTTTTCTTGCTGCATGTTGAAATCATGAGAAAAAGATGTAGGAACGGTTTGGTGCATTCTGCTGTGTGTGTAAGATAGCTTTTTTTTTCTTTCAAGTGTCACGACCTTCACGAGTACATTTTTTCTTCTTGGGATACCAAGTCGGGGCGATGCCAGACATCATGTACATTACCTGCATTAAAAAGGCAAAAGGGCAAAAGCCCAAATTTCAAACAAGAACAAGGATTTTTCATCAATAAGATCTCTCATCGATTCGGGTATCATACTTGACTCTCTCTCTCCCCCCCCCTACCATCCGTATCGACTCGACGCCTCCTTCCTGTTGCTCTTGCCCTTGGCGAAGCTGTCCTCGAGGGCCTCGCGCTGGTTCTGCACCTGGTTGACGAGCTGCTGCAAGCTGTGCTTGCCCGGAGCGATGGCCCGCACGGGGTTGTGAATCTGCTGTTGACCCGCGGCGCGAATCTGCTCGTTGTGCCTGTACTCCTGGTCCGTGTTGAAGTTGATGACCCTCGACGCCGTCTGCGGCACGGCGCCGATGTTGCCGCCCTTTTGGCGGCCGAATAGCTCGCGCCTGGCTGCTGCTGAAAGGTTGAGATCGTTGGCGATGGTGTCAAGGGAGTCTGATGTGTTGGGCGCCGTCGTCGGGGCCGTGAAGTGCGCTTGTGCTGCGTAGTCTGCGTAGCCGTTGTCCGCTGCCGCCGGCTGCTCGGTTTCGAAGAGAGGCTCGTATGCGCCGGCGTTTCCAGTCTTGGTAGCATCTGTCGATGTCTCTTCGGTCTCTATGGAGAAGAGAGAGACTTTTTTGGGTGCTGGTGCTGGTGCCGGTGCGACCTCCGGCTCTACAGTCAACGTCGACACGGGCTTTGGTGCCGTCGCTACTGGGGCCACAGAGGCCACTGTCTTCTTCTTTTTGGTATTCCTGGCCACGGAGAGAGGCTTGAACATCATTGGCTTGCCCACCAGCTTGACTTCGTCCGCGGGCTTCATCCCCTCTGGTATCGACGGTTGCGCCTGGGCTTTGGGCGGGGGCAGACTGAGCCCGCCGGCCGCGGAGCCTGGCATTCCATTCGCATCTGATCCTCCTCTTTCTCTGCTGAATCCAGGTTCCGCCCCTGTTTTGAGTTGGAACGCCGGCCGCGACGAGCTTCCGCTGCTGCCGCTGCTTTGCGCCGAAGCAGCGGCCTTTGCGGCAGCGTTCTTGGGCGTTGGAAGGAAAGAGTTGAAGCCGCTGAATCGACCACCACCATTTCCTGTACGCGCGCGCTTCGCTGGAGGTTCGTCGTTCGGGAGCGTGGCCTTCGAGGCTTCGGGTTGTGTTGATGGCAGACTGACGACGATCTTGCCTGGGTTCGATCGGTCGACGACTTTTTGGAATGGCTTTTTGCCTGTGGCGGTGGTTGTGGGCTTCGAGACTGTTGGCTTGACGGGTGCCTCATCCTCTGATCCAGAGGATTCTGAGTAGTCGACCAAACCCATCTTCGTTGAAATTTAGTGTATTCGTGATATGGATTAGAGGGAAAATGAGGCGATCGCAGGGTAATGTGCTGCAGGTCAACAAGGTGCGAAGTGCAGCACTGCAAGGCTGGGTGCTTAGTCCAGGACCGTGCGTCATTATCGTGCACGAGCCACATCTTCAACACTGTTGTTTCACAAGGCTGAGGGAGGTACGACCGCATCTCGCAGCTACCCCTCGGCGGCAGCTTGCTTCCTTGTTCTTACACTTCCCACCAAACTTCCTTTGCCATTCTGTGAGCTGAGCTCGCAATTATGTTCTTTCCCCGATCGCGGGCGTGGCTTCTTTCGATCTGACAGCCCTTGGGATGATCCGCTATTGACCATTTCCTTTCATTCCCCCGTTGACCGGTAGCTGCCCATCATGTCGGTCATTCAGAACGAAGAGTAAGTGGTTACAATATTCTAATACTGAAGGCATTTTTCGCTCAACTATATCTGAATAGGCTAGTTGCGTACCAGCTACGCTGCGGCTACCTCACTGAGATCGCCGATGGAGTGGGAGAGCGACTGATTACCCTTAATGAGGGGTTCATGAACTCCTCGGCTTTCAAGGCGGTCGCATGGCAAGCCAACCCCGATCTCGTCAAACGGTGTTACTCCCCTCCGATTCCAACTGCGATTGCCTCCGAATATTTCCAAGCCCCACGACAGGCTGGAGTGACCCTCGAAGATGAGCCCGACGAAGCTGGAATGTTGACCGGTGGAGGCACCGATACGCTTGGCCCCGGTCTTGCAACAAGAAGAAGGAGACGGCGGGAAAACTTGGAAGATGACGATAGTAGCGATCTGAGCGATGAGAGTGATGACGACGACGCCGGCCAGCGAGCGGCCCAGCAGATCAAGTTCGCCAAGATGCCCGTACGATCGAGGGCCGGTTCCAGTCCAATTCAATCATCGCAAATCAAGCAATCCCCGGCCATGTCTCCTCGCGCAGCGCCCGGTGCACGTCGAGGTTCGCAATCTGCGTTGGAAGTCGTCAAGGAAAGAGCACGGAGAGATACAGTGACTAGCAGCGAGGTGTCATCCGAGAACGAGTTTGACGCTTCTGGTTTCCACAAACAGCGAGAGGCTGCCAGAGCTGCGGCCAAGTCAGTCAAGCTTCAGGCTAAGATCTTGGAGGAACCTAGTCTTGGGATCAAGCGCGCTGGCACGCAATTGCTGCCGGAGGAGGAAGAAGATGATTCTGATGGATCAGACATGTCTGGCGCCTACATCGAAAGTATCGATTCGGCCTCTATTCTGGATGCCGTTGAGAACCCGGAACCTCCTCCTCACAAGCAAGTCGTGGGAACGCCTCCCCGGGAGTTCACAAGAACTTCCACTATTCGAAAGTCGCAAGCGCCACCTCGGATCCTACAGGCTCTACCTCCGCCTCGTCCCATGAGCACAATTCGGCCGATGAGCATGATTCAACCCAAGAGTCTGCTGTCCGCTGCTCTCAGGGCTAGAAAGACAAAGCCAAAGGTTCCTTTTGAGGGATTTGCGGCACTTTCTGGCCAGGGCGAGAACAATCCCATTGCTGTCCGAATCTATGCTGCCTTCTCTGAAAGCCCTACCAAACCGTTTGAAGTCCCCATCAGACGCATGGTGCATCACGGCGAGGGCGGTGATCGGCCCGTCACCGTGGCGGATCTCATTGGCCTTGCACTCTGGAGATACAACGAGGAGAAACGGCAGCCATCTATACCTGCCGATAAAGCCAACATCAATTGGTTCACGCTGAGAATGGTCGAAGAGGATGGAGAGGTCGATGATGACTTCCCACCCTTTGAGCGCAACAAGGCCTTGACGTCTTTCACCACAGCAAACAACCGAGCTGCCGGAAGAATGCGAGCCAACTCCAAGACTTATGATAACTTTGGATTGGTCCAAGCGAGTCAATCCGAGTACGCCGAGAACCAGAGCATCACTCCACAAGAAGAAGAAGAGCCGGCCGAGGAAGTCGACGAGGACTTGACTCCGCGCAACACTCCGCAGCCGAATCTCAACTCGTTCCTTCCCGTCGCCACAGAGCCTCGCCCGAACCCCGTCACGAATACTACATATCGTCAACAGCATAGTATGTTCGCCGACGCACCTCAGGCGCCTGCCGCGGCGCCCAACACGAGCCGGGGTCAACAGAAGCTTTTGCGCGTACACCTCCACTCGACCGATGTAGCTCCCGGCCAGCTGGTCACGCTAGACACCACGACGGAGACGTACATGGCCGAGGTGCTGGACATGGTCTGCCGCAAGAGACAGCTGGACAAGGCCAATCATGTCCTCAAGATGCCTGGTGGAGGCCCCGTGATCTTGCTTGACACCAAGGTCGCGGCAATCGGCAGCTTGTCGGATCTGGAGTTGCATCGACGCCGTTTCGCAACAGACGGCCCACTCGCCATGACTGGATCCCCTGGAAGTGCTTCGCCAAAGCTGCTCCCCTTTGTGGGCGACCAGCCTGGCCGCAAGTCCAAGAAGCCGCATATCATGGGAAGTCACCCGCTGGCTCAAGAGGCCATCAAGCAGGCAGAGCTTACCAGTGCATATCACAAGACTTGGGTTGTCTGGCGTTTGCGCACCGTCCGGATGATAACACAATCCGAAAAGCGCTTCGAGATCGACGGAGAGTACGTGCACATCAAACCGACGACGAGAGATTCCAAAACGACGACGGCGCATATTTCTCAAGTAATTGGATGCAAAGTGTCTAGCAAGCACCCGAACCAGTTCAAGGTGAGTTGGCACGCACATCGCCGGGCGCTCTGCCGCGTTTCGATCATAAGCTGACTAAAGATTGCAATAGCTGTTCATCTACCGGGACACCGAGAGTAAGCGCTACGATTTTGAAGCCAAGTCAGTGGAAGAAGCGCATGAGATCATCAACGAACTTAAGAAGGGAGTTGCTCAGGTTATGGGCTGAGCACCGTGGTCTCATTGCGCATGATCTGATGGTTACGGAGTGCATCACATCTGAGCTGCCTCGTCCCCGCCACAACACTACGCCACGTATACACCGCCACACACACCAACTGTCCAGTGACGTTGCGGAAGAAGCGGCCTCAAACATTGGGATGGGCTGAGGGAAGATCCACTCCATTTGCTGACTAGAACGGGAATCGGTTGGTTTGGATGAATCCGCCCTCCGTGCCGCATGCCGGACACGGTGATTACGCGTCACCGCCATTGGGGGGTGGCCACCCTCGCGCTGCTTATTTTAGCAGGGGAAACTTGCTGCTGTCACTGCGGACTCCTCGCCTTCGTCACGACTGGGGAACGAGAATTATGTAATATGTACCACGGGCGGAGGAGCCAGAAAGACAAACAGGATTGGTGCCCCTTGGGTAGAAAATGTGGAAAGGGGTGGAATTGGGGATGGTCTCTTTATGTGGGGTACACATCCAATTAAGGTTCGCATCCTGGCTCCTGCGTCATGCAGATCAATACGATTGGAGCCGCGGGCCGGGATGCTTGGCGCCGCGGTCGCACTCCCTGCTTTGGTCGGGCTCGGCAAGGCTAGGCACATTTCGGTTATGAAGGGCAAGTCTGGGAAGGTCTGGACACAACGCCAGGGAGAGGGGAGGATGGCACGATGGATGAGCGAGATGAGGCAATCAGAGGTCGGGGAATTGGGGGAAGGGGAAGGATTGTCGGTACATGAGCTGACACCTTTTCATCCCCCAGATGCCTTGCAGCATGATTCCCCTTCTCCGCCTTATCCTCTCCCAGGGCTGCGAGTACCTTAGACTAAGCAATTCAAGACGAATTTCAAAAAAGAACTTGAAACGGCGGATAGGCGACCGCGTCGAGGCTGAATGCTTCGTCATGTGCTCATCTGCTTCTTCTGCCTGCTTGCTCTGTTTCGTCGGGCTGACACAAAAGCCTCCGAATCCTAATTCGTGGTAGTCTCCCAGGCGAGGCGCGTACGACGTATGCTTATTTTTATGCCTTTGTAATTGCTTTACGCCACTGGGGGGACGAACGGTCGGACAATGCTCAATTCGTCCAGCAGAATCCATGGTGCAATCAACCGAGGACGGAGAAATCCCCAAAAATATTTAATGATGTACAGATAGGTATCCCGGACTCTGTTCAGTGGAACGGTTCCATTGATAGGGCGAAGCTCCATTGATTCCTGTGCGACCGAGGTGCCAGTATCAAGGAGCACTTTTGCTCTTTTGCCCTGTTTTGCACATGCAAAAACAGCACAACATCGGCGAGTCGGCGTGGTAGCAGGCATAGGTAGGGAGGAAAAGATACCGAGTACTGAGGATGAAGTTTCGAAGCTTTTCGAGCTTCGACCATCTCTCATTCTTGACGGGGTCTCACGTGTCTCAAGGGGTGCGTGAGGTAGGTCGTACAACACCCGTCCGCGATACATGAGCAGGGGCCACACGATTATGAGTCGGTTCACATTCCCAAGAGCATTTGCCTCTTCTATTTTGAGGATTTTTGAGGTTCCTCTTTTTCGTCCCTGGAACCTACAGTAGGTGGTAAACATTCAGACGCGCAAGGCTTGGGCCACCTCAAGAAAGTAGGGACAAGTTGAGAGCATGCAGACGGTAGACCAAACGATGTGTGCGAGGGGGGTCGTCTGGTTCGCAGGTTGACTTTCTGGCCTGATTGCCGTGGGCAAGAAGGGGGAAAACCTTCTGCATTGACCTCACCTTAATACGAACTTTCAAATGAAAAGAGGCGACGGCGCCGTCACCAACAGTACGGGTATGGACTTTTGAAACGAACGGTAGGTACCTATCCTTGGCCGTTGGCATCCTGTGACGCAATTTGATCCTCTTTGCTCTTCCACTCTGTGCTTGGGGGCCAGGAATCTGCTGCTGCTTGGGATTCGGGAACCACGTCGTGACACCCCCTCCCTCCAGCAAGGCTTCCCATATTTCATTTCCCATACGCTTCCTTTCAAATCTCCTCAAGGCTCACGGGACTTTACTAGTCTGTGTGTTGCAGATTGTCGAGACTGCGGAAGGGGACAAGATGGATGTTCGTGCACGAACTTGCAGGCAGACAGATGCATGAGTTCGTTCCCGTCTGCATTGCTGTATAATGGTCAATGGGACAGAATAAGACGCCACAGACAACAACACCCGTCTGATCTGAATTTCAGATTCCCATTCCCCCCCTTGCGCATGTATGATTTTACAGGAATGAAAAGAGAAAAGGAGCCCGTCAAAAGCATTGGCGCGGCTGTCGCCAAGCGTTTGGCACCGTCGAGATTCGCGGGAAGACCAAACTTCAAAAGAACGAGGGTTCTGCCATGGAACTTGGAAGACGGCTCGATGGAAGCTTCGACCGTTCGAGACCACCACACCTGTGACCTTTCACGCACGCAATCACGCTTAGGTTCTCAAATTCATCCGCCCAGGTAACGGTCGAGACTCATAACTTACCCCTACCTAGTACCTACAAGTCTAGAGGCTAGAACGGCCGGAACCCCAAACAAGGAGCTCCCCGCAACCCCCTCCCCCCGTCTTCTCCATGGTCTAACAGACCAGGGCGAAGCCATACCAAGCTCCAAAGGTGTGAACCGGCATGAGAGTCCAAAACCGAAGCGATGGGGGAAATGACTGTTTTTGCTCCGTCCCGTCTCATCTTGCATAATTCTTCCGGGCTGCGGATGTGATGCTGATGATGGACTGCGAGCCTGCGAGTGGGACAGGCAGTGGCAGTGGCAGGGGTGGACATTGCTGTTCATACGTCATAGCAATAAATCAAACAGAGGGGAGCCATATCCAAGGACCAAGGCCCACCCCCTTCCGCGCGAAATTCGGCTTCGCGACACTGACCTCTTTCTGTCCAGGCCCCGGGCGGCTCTGACTTCATCTCCAGACAGGCGTGACAGGCTAGGGGAAACCAACTCTCGGATGCGATATTAGAATCGGAAAGGGTTCATGAGAGAAATATGAGATCAGCACGTTTAGGATTTGAGAAAGAGGAGGGGAAAAAAGGCCGTGAGAAAGCATGATGCCTGGCGGGCTGCATTGACCTTGCCTGGCCCCCCGTCAGTGCATCGAGCTTCCGGGTACATAGTAAGCGTACGAATCCTTGGCAGATCAGATTCCATGGGCAGAAAGAAAGTTTGCTCGTCTTTTTTTGCCCGTCAAACAACGCAAAGAAGCCCTTGGAAATAGGTACACTCTTTTTGAGTTTTGAGTTTGAGCTGGCAGGCTGGCAGAGGCTTGTTGTAGACTTGGAGCAAAAAGATGGGACACACCTCACACTGGCTCATTGACAGGCGGGCAGTGTTCTGTTCAGCTCTTTCTCAGCTGCGCCAGCTGGCAGCCTCAACAGGACCCAGCGAGAAGAAATGTGTCGATCCGGGGGACCCGAAAGTCAGTCGGCTGCGAAGCTCCGCCCTCTCTCTCACTCTCTCACATAGGTACGGAGTAGGTATCCGTACAAATACTATGTACTCAAGCCGCATCCTCTGGGTCTCTGGTGTGTGTTCCATGGTGCTTCCTCCTCGTCCTTCCAGGCTTCCATTGAAGCAAGGCGTGGTGTTCTGCCGTGAAACTATGAAACGGCAGGCAATCAACTGAGAGCATTGGATCGGTGGACAAACGGCAGAACAATTGTCTGGACGACCCCTTGTCCCTTCTCCCCCATGTCACCGTCTCTTTCTTTTCCCTTAGGCTTCCCTTGCATCTCGTGAGGTGGTCCACGTTGGAGAGAGGTATCCATTAGTAACACAGTACGTACCCGTATCCGAGGTCGACGGGACTTTGGCGGTCGGTGGTTCCTCCAGTGTGGGCCCCCTTTAGACGCGGGAACAGCGAGCTTTGACGAATGATATCCCTCTAATCTCTTCTCCACCTCCTGTCGATCTCCTCCTCGCCGCCGCTGCAGCGCCCCAAGTCCTTGGCCCATGGTGTCATTGCATCCGCGGGAAGGCACCTACCTACCTTCATTACCCATGTCCAATCCATGGATGTCTCTTTCTTTCCGGTTGGTCTCTGCCGCAATGCCAGTCTCGCGGTTCTCACCAGGTACTCTCTCCAAAGCAATCTCCAGTTTTCTTGTTATTGTTGATGACATGTTGCTACTTCGTAATCGTTCTTGTCTTTGTTTGCTTGAAGTTGGACAACATGGGGACCTCGTCTTCCCCCGTCCGCCACCGCCTCCTCCGAACCCACAGTACAGAGTACATTTTGCCAATGGACCTCGCTTCTCCCGGCTGAAAACAAAACGGAAAAGCGGACTGGAAGCAGCAAGAAAAAAAAAAAAAAAAAAAGCGGACATGTTTCTCCGGTATTGATGTACACATGCAATTGGGCATCCAAGCATCGCATCGTACCGAGGGCTGAAGCTTGTGGATATGGCTGGATAGCATTGTCATCCATCCCGTCAATGCCTCATCCTGCTGCTCCACGCTGCTGGCTGTGTACCTCCCGCGTGGGCTTCCGAGCATAATCACCGCTGCTATCTTTGGGAACCTCAAATTAAGGAGGCAGAGCTGTTGACGGACTTTAGGAGCCTAACAGCTCTAAGCTACCAGTCGTGCCAGGCTACCCCCCACCCCCTTGATGCGGCACCCGAGCCTTGATTCTTTCACACAAAAACCAAACCGTTAGCCACGCAGAGCGCCACCGTCGTCGTCGTGGTCCTCCTCGGCCATCGTCCTCGTAACCGTCAACCATAGGTACGGCTGCCGCTCGAGCCTAGCCACATATCCACCCACGTCTCGAACGTGGGCTAGATTCAAGTCCGTTTGGCTAAAAGAGTCCGGCCTAATGTGGCGCTTGTTTTTCTCGTTGGGAAGAGATGGGGGCGGACGACATCATTACCCATCCCAATTGGCAATGTCGCCTCTCTTTCGGGATCGGATTCTTCGACGGTTCCTGCGCGGTTTTTCTCTGCTCTGGAGTCTGAAGTCCAACTGCGTCAAGCGTGGCAGTCCAGCGTTTTGTCCTGCAGCTGCAGGGTGCTCACGGTGGTAGTGTTTACTAACCACGGTGAAATCATCGCCGTAAGAAGCTCCTTCCCCCAAAATAGGTACCTGATGGCAAGGAGACCGAGAGAGGAGGTGGCACAGATTCAGTAGACAGCAGACAGCAGGCTTCCTAGGGATTCCTCACCTTTCCCAAGATGGAATCATGATCCCCCGGTAATCCCCAGTCTCAGACTTGCAGGCTTGCCAGAGGGGCAGGTAGGGAGAGCTTTCCGCTTTGCCAATGCCGACAATGCAGCCCGTCACGCCTGTCTGTAGGTAGGTAGTACCTACCTATGCCCACCGGTCAGCCGTGCCAAGTCAGTCAGCTCAGCCATAGCCTGGCCTCAATCTCATAGCTGCTCCAGCTGGCCGCCACAGATTGGACCAGGCGAGAGGAGGCAGTCGGGAAACTGCATGTTACCGCGGGGATGACGTGAGGAAGTGGGTCTTTTGTTGTTCGCCCTTTTCGTCCTACGGATGCAGAGCCACAGAGCCACAGAGGCAGACCACGAATACTCTGTAGAGCACACCTCCTTCGCGACTGGGAGTCTGGCACTTCTGGGAAGTCTGGGATATCCGAACATGGGTCCTCCCCTCCCCAGCTTCGACCTTTGGCCGGGGTACGTAGCATCAAGTCTCGGAGTGCCACCCGCGGTCCGCTAGACTAGCACCGACCTAACCTAACCAAGTACCTCCTTAGCCTCCTTGGAACTGACCTCCACCCCCTGGTTCCGCCTCTTGGCCAAACGAATGGAGGCGAAAACGGGAGAAAGGAATCCCATCATCGCACCGCCCGAGACGAGGAGTACCTCCCCTTGCCTACCACAACACACCAGCGCGCCAAGTTTACGTAGTGCTAGGCTTGCGTGCCCGGCGTTTGGTGGAGGATTCTTGTGGTGGTGCCTGGCTTCTCTCGGCGCGATGGGGGAGGGGTGTGGGTGTGTGGTGTCTGTATGTGAATGACGAACGGTCCATTGGGGGGCGTGAGGTGATGAGAGATGAAGAGAGGTGAGAGAACGAACGGGGACCGGCGGCTTGGCTTGGCCCTCTCGCTCCTCTCTGGATGGTCCCATCAGAAGATATATAAGACCTCTGTCCATCAGCCCATCTTCCAGTCGTCTCCCTTCCTACCGCTCTACCCAATCAACCCAATCTCATACAAATACCCAGTCCTCGACTACCCAATACCTAATTCAATAACTCCAATCTCTAAACACCAAACCCAACAACTTTAAATCAGCCAAAATGCGTTTCTCCGCCGCCACCGTCTTCGCCCTGGTCTCCCTGGTTGCCGTAAGTTGATGCCATCTCCATTCATCTCTGGACAGCATGCTAACAAACTTCCAAACAGGCCCAGGACGCTTCCTCCACCACCCCCGCCGTCCCCGGCGCCTCCCAGGTCAGCTCCCTCATCGGCTCCGCCTCCAGCGCCATCGCCTCTGAGGCCTCCTCCATCCTGAGCGGCGCCTCTTCCGCCGCCGGCGCCGCCTCCTCGGCCATCGCCTCCATCACCTCCTCCGCTGGCGCCGAGGCCTCTTCCCTGAGCGAGGCCCTCACCTCCGCCACCGACGCCGCCGGCTCCGCCTCCATCTCCTCCAAGATCGCTTCCGTCTCCAGCAAGGCTGCCTCCGCCGCCTCCAGCGTCGCCTCCGCCCAGAGCACCTCTGCTCCTGGCGCTGCCCCCGCCCAGACTGCTGCCGTTGCCCTCGGTGCCCTCTTCGGTGGTGCTGCTCTCGTTGCCAACTTGTAAATTATGAGACAAAAAGACTATGATCACGGGAATTATGGGTAGCGGAAACGGTTGGATTCTCCTGTGCGTGGTAAAGGGTATTACTACACAGCATTGTTCGGGCTTTTTTTGGGATTTTCAGAGATATCAAGATGTAATACCAGCACGAATTGTACATCAATCAACATCCATTGTATATTGAACTCATCAGATCTTCATATAGTGACTGTATGTTCCTTGCACAGCAAAACGGTGATGTTCATGAAGTAACCTACGCGAAAAATAATGCCATTAATCACACCTGCGCTACGATATCAGTACGGCACATTCAATCTCATCCTATCCTCATTTTAGCCATCACCTATCGCTGTTAGGAAATAAGACGAACAACGGGATTGTTCGATACCCCGAAAAGATGGCGCTTTGCCCCGACAGCTCCAGGTTGCAGCGTGCTACGCTTGTCCTGCACCATACTTTGTATCCGAACCATGCACATCTACTAGTGCAAACGCCGTAGCCAGCCACCCTCCAGATGAGGCAAGCCCTGGCAAGGCAAGCAATGGTGCATATCAGCTCCCGCCACACTACCTCGCTCAGTGTTTCACCGTTTGAAAAGCAAAGTGGAACATACGATTGCTTTCGATCGTGATCGCACCCAGGCTTCCCGAGACAGTCAAACAACCCGTGCCTTAAACTCGTTTTTTTTGATTGCGCCGTGTAATTATCTGATGGTCGAAGGAAGGGCTGTGTTGAGCATAAACTGTTCTCAGCTACGCCTTCGACCGGGTATCTGCCCATAACTTATCAATGATTTGGAAAATTGCCGTAATGGCCTTCATGACCGTGTCGTCCACCTGTCCGCCAAGCTTCTGTTGCATCTTGTCAGGATGCCACCGTACGCGCTCCTCGCGTAGCTTTGCAGCGAACTCCTTCTCGCCAATGTCCTCCAGCCCGAGCCCGTTCACAATAAACCGTCGAACTTCCTTTTCGTTGATGTCTCGCCGTTGACCGCTTTCTACAGGCCAGGGGATCTTGTCCACGTTGTTGGCCCACTCTGACCAGCCTTGCGTGTAGTCTTCCCAGAGCTGGACCCAAGCTCTCTTCTTGCGCCGCTCCTCTCCGCGGCGCAGGCTGCGCTCCATATCCTCTTGCAGCTTCCTGTTGACCTTCTCCTCTTCCTTTTTGCGTTTCCGTGCTTCTTCCCGGTGGGCCCTCTCTTCTATTAAGCCTTGGTGTGTCTTCTCCCACATCTTCTGCCTGACATGCTGGGAGTATTCTTCGTCCGTCATCCGCTCTAGCTCGCCCTCTGGGCCTGGGCGCTCGTTGGAGTAGACGTGTATCGGCTGCCCGTAGACGCCCTGCCAGTATGCCGCGCCCTCGTCGTCCGCCATCGCGTCAAAGAGGGACTCGCGGAATGCGGCATCTGGGTCGAGAGCCTGGGGTTCGTAGGGATTCGGTGGTGTCGGGGATCGTGATCGTCTGCGATGTCGCCGGCTGCTATGGTGGTGGCGGCGGTGGCGGTGCTCCGAGCGGGAGTCGTCGTCGTCAGCGTCTGGGTCGTGCCCGCGGTCGCGATCGCGGTGACGATGCGATCGGCTCGACTTTGAATGTTTGGATTTTAATCGGATGCGGGATGATCTAGGTCGTAGGTTTTCGCCGTCGCCTGTTTCTGCCTGCGCTTCTGCGTCTGCGTCTCTTGTTGGACCAGGCGACGACTTGCGCTTGGTTTGCTCGGATGTGTTCTCGTGGCTCTCGCCAGGATTAACAGACGAAAGGATGTGTCGCCGTCGCGGCGATGCTGGCGAACTGGTCATCGCGTGTTTTTCGCCAGCACGCAGCGGCCAGATAATCTGTTGAAAAGACACTTGTCGCCAGTTTGTCGTTGTACGCAGTTCGGAGCAAGGAAGTTGGTGGAGGGGTCGTCCTGAGTTGACCGTTGACGTCGTCGGATTTTAGCTTATCTTATCTCGTGCGGTGTTGATGCCCGTGGTTTCCTGCTTGCGGGTCTTGGCATCCCGCGTGCCTGGATCATTCCTGCCACTCCTACGAGATAAGGTTAAATCCACCGATAGCCCGCCTTCCCCGGACAAGGAAGGCAGGTACTTTTCTCTTCGTATCTTGAGGCTCAGCGGACTGCAACGTCGTCTATCTTATCAAGCTAAAGTGAGTGTACAGATAAGGTAGGCAGGTATCTTACTCTGCACGACCCCTGTCTGACGTTTCTGTCCTGACACTACTCGCGGGGAAAAACACCAACATGCCCGCTCACGATATCTGCTTCAAGTGGTCCGATAACATCACTCCTCTTTCCCCAATATAGGATACTGCCATAACTCGAGGATTCACTTCGATTCACGCGAGGGTGGTGACAAAGCATCAGCTCATCAACTTCACCTCCCCAAAGTGCAATCAGATAGGCATATACCAGACAGATGGTCATGGGCAAAATGGGAGACATTTGTGAGTTTTCATCTCTTGTTTGCCTCGTAGTAGCCAGGCCCTCGTTGGCTTCGGTCAAGTGATGACTGCCAGACTACTGAACTGTTGTCTGCGCTTCTCGAAACTTCATTTCACCTCCAGAACATCCTTCACGACTTTGGCGACCGAGACACACTTTTCCTCGCCATACTTTCCTCCAATAATCTGCACAACAACCGGCATGCCGCGAATCAGATCAAAATCATCTATGGCTTGTCAGAACACACAGACTTTTGTGGATCGTGATTGGGGAAATACTCACACAGCTGATAGTTCATCTCGTCACTCTCATTCCATGGGACATGATCTGACCACTGCTGGCTCGAGGCACTACTGCTTTCAGCTCGCATGACGGGGATCGTCAAGGCTGCATAATCAAGCCAGTTCCAGTGCGATGTGTACCCGACGTGAGGCTTTGACCCGGCCCACACTCTGGGTCTCTTCCCAACCCAGGGTGCCACCGGGGTAATGAGGGCGTCAATACCTGCGTCATTCCAGCGCTTGAGGTAGTCTTTCTCATATCTGAGCTTTTTGGCAGCCAGCTGTACAACTTCAGTTAGTCGAGGTAGCGCGTGTCATTCGCACTTGGGTTGACCTACATCACGAGACTCTGCAACTGGGAGTATGTCTTTCTCGGTTCCAACAAGAAGTCCTTTCACTAGTGGCTCTCCGCTGGCCTCACTCAGCTTCCTGTGGAATTCACCACCATCAGCGAATGTGGCGGTTACCCAATCCTTGCAAGCTTCAGCATGCGAGGTGGGATCCCATTCGATCACTGCATACATATGTGTTAGCATACAGGCACGGCAGAACAAGCACTGTGTAACACCCACAAGTATGCCCTGCAGCTGTGAGGCTATCAACAACAGCCCGTACCGCCTTTTCAATAGGCGGCTGTACACGGACAATGTTATCATTGATATAATATCCGATCTTTAGTGGCTTGTCAGGCTTGGCCGCGAACTCCTTGCGCCACGGAATGGGCAGCAAAGTCGGATCCTGTCGCCACGGCTCACAAGATAAGATGCCATCCATAAAGGTTTATATTGTCGAGAGGCTGGAGGCCAGAGGACCTGCCACCGGAGGTGCAAGAAACTCCCATTTGCTGCCGCGCCACTCTAGTCAGTCAACGATGCTTCCAAGACACAAGCGATCGAACCCTGGGGGGAAGTGACTTGCCTCGACTCGTCGAACGGTAGTCGCCCAACAGTCGGTTTTAATCCGTACAATCCTTGCAGAACTGCCGGAATACGTATGGAGCCGCCGGTGTCTGTCCCGACCCCGACCAGGCTACCATGACAACCTACGAGTGCCGCTTCACCACCCGAGCTGCCACCAGAGATCAGCTCGCGGTTGAGAGAGTTCAAAGATTGCTTGAAAACATGATTGTATGAGTCCGAAAGCTAATGTTCTAGATTAGACCACGATCTTTTGTAAGTGCACGATGTACAATGATGGAAAATCTCACCATGAGAGCCTGCGCAACATTCGTCTTGACAAAAGGCACAGCGCCTTGAGCGATGAGAACGTCTGTTAAGACGCTGTTTGATTTTGCTGGCTTCCCGATGAGTCCGACCCAGCCTTAATATCGTTAGCATTGCACTGAAACCCTGCATCTGACGGCTTACCGATGGTAGAGTCGACTCCTTTGACATCAAATATGTCCTTGAGGGATACCGGGAGTCCATGCAAAGGCCCAACTACCGAGCCTGTCCGCTCCAGATGGTCATCTAGGGCCCTGGCTCGTTCGAGTGCCTCTGCAAACATGAGCTCCGTGCAACATCCCACCAGCTGCTGGGCTATGGCAGCTCGCTTCGCGAATGCCTTGAGGATTTGAACAGCGCTCAATTTTCGAGTTGCGATCTGCTCGAGCAAGACTCGAACATCCTCAATTTCCGTACAAGCAAGCTCTTCCGCTGTCAAAAGTCCAGAAAAACGGAGGAAAGCGTCCGTGTCTTTGGGTGGAGGAACAACTTGGTCGATACGCCATTCAATGGGAATGGCGGCGTATTGTTCTGCTCGCTTCTGCGCGGCACTTAGTTTCCATGGCGGTTTCGGTGTTTGTGCATCGATCACAGCATCTGCTGGAAACGATCTGAGGTGGATGGTTGGCCTTGCATCTTACGTATATCGTCAGCCTGACTTTGAGGGATCATTGCCGGGTAGAGTTGAATTATGAATCAAACAAGCCCATGTGAGGTGCGTTCGATCATGCTTGATACCAAACTGTTTATTAGTAGTGGTAGGCTGATCGTACAACTGATCGATACCCACATCCTTGTCGTGTATCTTCGTCGTATGTCTTCCGCACTCGGGGGGTAAAGCAAGTAGGCTATCTGATTTCGACTTCATTGCCACATCTGGTACGAGATGAATCAACCAGAAGAGGAAAGCAATATATGCAAAAGGCCCAGCCTTTCAGAGGACTGCCTACCGAAACACAGCAGGCATCTCATGATAAAGGTGATAGGGGACCAACCCACATCGATTATGCGATAAGAAAACATTCAACAAAAGGTACCCGAACCGAATCCCCAAAGGCGCGAAAGGTGACGATATGGCATTCAGAGCATCTTAGCACATCTCAAAGCAAAACCTGACGGAAGTTATGACAAATCCAAAATCGTCAGCCCAACCTCGCGTGAATATTTGATTGTAGAGATATGTTAGTCGTCACTTCATACGGATAAGTTTGCCGGTCAGCACCCCAAATGCCGTATCGAGTAGTATCCTTACGGCTCAAGTGGGTGACAAAATGAGATGCCGCTCAATACCCTTCCTATCACTTTTTCTACTATTCCTATTATTCCTATTATTATTTTTATTGCTATTATTATTAGTTATCTCTATATTATACTTCCTGAGATATATTCTATATAGAATATTTAAAAGATGGAAAGTAATAATAATAATGATAATAATAGAAAAGTTAATGATAGGAAGATTCGAAATAGAGCTAGGTACTTCATTTTGTCACCCACTTGCGGCTCTCATCCTTGAACCTCTCCACGAATCCACTTTTACCCGGCTGGAGGCATTGCCGAATGAGGAAGGGAATCTAAATCAAGGGCAACTGGGAGACATGATAGAACCTCCGTGGTTTTCCTGTTTCCCGAGTGGAATTGATAAAGAAAATCAACAGCACTAGAGATGTTCGAATCTTCGCGAACAGTGACCTGAATCATGGTTCTACTCACTCCCTCAAATAAAAGCATTGGGCGTCTTGATGTCAATAGCACCATGTCATTTCTCAGATACCAAAAGAAAGCATACCCGCGATGCTTGATGACCCCGAAAACATGCTGAGTTACGGGCTTGACGAGCACAATGCCGTGGCCCCACGCACCAATGCCAGTTTTCATCCCCATGACTGGCCAAATGTAGTATACGATTCCCTCTCCGAGAATTATATCCATACTAACACTATCTGCGCAGTGGAAGAAGATACTTGTCATCATTACTGGCTTGCTCATGGTCATACACAGCACCATCAGCTCCTCATTACCCGGCAACGCAGGCAACTCGATGATATTGGCTTTCCCGGAGACAACAGATCTCCAGTTGGTCCTTCCGGTATCCATTTACCTCGTCGGATTCGTACTAGGGCCAGCTTTTCTTGGGCCCATGAGTGAGGTCAAAGGTAGCAGGCCTGTATTACTCGCTACCTTCATCCTCTACATTATCTTCACACTTGCGTGTACTCTTGCACCTTCCTTCCCGGCGCTCCTGGTATTCCGGCTGCTCTGTGGGACGAATGCTGCTGCCCCTGTCGCCATCGTCGGAGGTGTTTACGCAGACATGTACTCAACCCCACGTGAGCGTGGCTGGTGCATTGCATTGCTGATGGCCGTAAGTGTTATTCCCCAATTGATGTTGCTTACCATCACGAACTATCTACACCAGCTTACTTGGGTATCTCAGGTCACCAATCTCGGACCATGTCTGGGGCCTATCATCACAGGTTGTGTCTCTCCCATTTCCTGGCGTTGGCCATACTGGGTCAGTCTCATACTGGCCGGATCAACACTCCCTCTTGTTCTTTGGCTACCGGAGACTTTTGTTCCGGTCCTCCAAGAAAAGGGGATTTTAGACGCTAACTACGGCTGTCCGGAAACTGATCTGGGTTCCTCTGGATCAGAAATCAAGAAAGGGACTGGGCGGCACCTCTCTTTGGCTACATTCACGAAGTCATTTCAAACGTTGTTCTCAGAGAGCATCTTGATGCTCACATGCCTCTACCTGAGCTTCGTTTAGAGCATCTTCTAACTGTATCTTCAGGCATACCCAGTCATATTCCAAGGCTCCGACAGCATCTACAAGCTCAGCACTCGGATCACCGGCCTGGCATTCTTACCAATTGGGGTCGGAGCTCTTCTGTCTGGCGTTTTTTATGTGCTCTGGGATATTTATCTTGAAAGAAGTCTCAAACTTGGAAAGCCACGGACAAAGAAGGAGGAAATGCGGCGTCTGCCACTTGCTTGCGCTGGTGGACCCATCTTCGTGGTAGCGGTGTTCTGGCTTGGCTGGACTTTTCGGTCGGACATACACTGGGCTGTCCCTGCTCTCTCTGGCATTCTCTTTGGCATAGGATTTGTGCTGATCTTCATTGCCATGTTGGATTATATCACGGACGCCTATGAGATCTATGCGGCCTCTGCGCATGGCGTGGCTTCGACGTGTCGAAGCATCTTTGGCGCTTTGCTGCCTCTTGCTGGAAGGAGAATGTACAAGACGTTTGGTGTCGGATGGGCGAGCACTCTTCTCGGTATCTGTGGACTGTTTCTAGCAGCCGTGCCATTTGTGTTCATCAAGTATGGCACTAGTATTCGTTCAAGAAGCATGTTTGCTAGAGAAATACAGGAGGCACATCGTAGGGGTTAAACATATCATCCAGAAGCACGGTGGGCTATGATTGCAATGCCAACCTCCATAGGGTAGTTTCAAATGCTGTCAAGTAACAATGTCCACCCTCGAGATCCCTCTGATAGGTGACATTCGGTTTACTTGTGTACCAAACGCCAAGACAGACTATTGAAACCGTAAGCTGATACCAATTACCTCTACAGCTACCTAAAAGGGCTACGTAGACCTAATGATCAATCCTAGACATACGCTCGCCGCTGGGGTATATTGGATCCTCCAGAGAATTGCATATCTCCCAGTACCTTTGGGCAGTCTTAGAATGATCAGAAGACTGGGAAAGACGGCCAACCATGAAAGCAGCAAATGGCAAATGACGATACTTCGCCGATTTCGTCGGTATAGCCTGTAGGATGTCGCAGATCCGGTCTGCCAGTTCATGCATGATAGCTTCAAAGCTGGTCTTTTTCACACTTGACTCCGCTTCATAGATGGCCATTACCCTGGAGTATCTCCAAGCGCCCCGCAGAAGGTCTTCGTGATCGTGACTACCGCGTGATGCCTTGAGCAGCTGTTTCGTTGCAGCAACGTACAAGTCAGGATGCCTCGATTCGCATTCGAAGCCCTCCTTCGTGATTGTTGTGTATAATTGAAATACGTCCTTGGGACATCCCACAAGCTCAAACAGGTTATTGTCCATAAACTCTCGATGCCAATCCTCAAAAATTAATCCTCGATCTCGCCTAATCATCAACCCGGTAGTATCGTACCAGCAAAGAAGGGATACAACCTCCTGAAGACCATTAATTTCGGAGCAGAGCTCTGCAAAACGTTCAGGTGGTGGGCTATGCAGGTCGAGAACCGCCCTGGCTCCTCTCAGGTGCTGTGACCAGGCTGCGAAGGGTTCCTTGTAGACGTCGATGAAGGCAAAGGTGGCGATACCGAAGATGGATTTGATCCCCTCCTGGTCCACAGATTGAAGGAGTGCCTCTACAGCAGCAGTATGACACAAGGCATATTCCTCGTCCGACGTATCATTCACGGGAACGGTCCGTGTCATTCGCTTCCATGCAAAATACCATATGCTCGACAGAGAATCGTGGGTAATAGCATTGCCTTGTTGCTGGGCGTCGTTCTGGATATGATCCATCTTCTGACGAAAGTGACTGAGATACTTGAAATAATGAGTGGTCCAGTTCGAATCGTCGACTTCAACTTGCTTATCTTTCAAGGGGATATTCCGCCTAGATACCGTCGCGCAAGGTTGATTATCGATCAAAATGGGGCCGCCGGTCAAAGGCCGGTGGTCTGGAACCTTGGGAGGCGGCACGGTCGTGGAATGAGATGCCCTCCAGGCGACCCGTTGCTTGTAGCCTTCGCAGGGCACATCATGGCTGATACACTATCCACAGCTCGGCCTGTTCAAGTCGCATTTGACGCCGCGGGCCTTGCAGGTCGCGCAATCCCGATCGTGACGAATGCCGCGGGGCCTCCCACATCCCTTTTTCTTCGGGGGTTGAGACATTTCGTGATTTTCAGGAAGTGATCAAGGTTCGAAATCGCCCAACAAGGAAGGCAACCAAAGAGCAAGGTAATGTTGACCCTCGGGTGACAGAGAAAGGGAGGCGGTCTAAAAAGATACTTGGTAAAGTCTCAGGCAATGCAGAAACACAAGTCACGGAAACAATTGCCTCCGTTGTTCAAACAGGCATGAGTTGAGCTCGATGGCAACAGGGTGGGGCGCTGCTCAATTGTCGCATGAATAGCGGCATTTGCATATCGGGCGCGTTCTACTTAGTAGCCAGGTTGAGTTAACCTTATTTAGGAAAGCAATCAAATCAGCTGGTAAGCGTAAGAATCCATGAGTGCTTTTAGACTGTTCTCCAACCCATCATGTCATCCTATCAATCGAGAATTGTCAGAATGCCAGAGTGATTAGATTGGTTGCCTAATTAGGAAGGGTATCAAACAGTCCTAGGCTAGGAATCTGGGACGACCATCCTCCCTCATCCATGCTCTAAGCAAGACTGTTGTAAGAATCCTTACCATCTGCGTCTTTCGGTTTGGTTATCTCTCATCCATTGAGTGTGAGAATGGCAACCACGATATGCTGATCTGGTTCAGAGATAAGGACTTGGCACCCAAGACTGGATCCGTAAAGTAGTACAAGGGCTCGCGAAGGTGTCACGACAGTCCATATCTTTTGTCTAATCTCCTATCTTGAAATGACTTTGCGAGATAGTGATCCAAAAGACGACATGACCAACTTCAGAGATAGGGACTTGGCCGTGGGAACATCAGAATGGCATCTTTATAGACAGGGCCGGAGGCCGCAAGAATGACGGTCGAAATGGAAAGACTCCTCAGGTCTCATCACTTGAGAATCCAGGCATATTATTACTACCGAAATCATGGAAGACGGCGTCGACTCTGGCATGCGAGCACTTCCACCAGGAGCCGTTCACCTCCTCCACACCAACAGCCACGGTACCGGGGCCGACGAAGTCATCCTTGTACCACAGCCATCCAAACACCCAGATGGCCCACTGAATTGGCCAAAAAGCCGGAAGACTATTCATATTTGTCTCATCTACTTATACACCTTTACGTGTGGTTGCGGTGGCACCGCCACATACTCCGTTTTGACCGACATTTCTCGAGACACCAACATCACCTTGACCCAACTCAACCTCGGCACCGGCTTGATCTTTCTGCTGGCCGGATGGGGAAACTGCTTTTGGCAACCTCTGGCACTCACTTTTGGTCGCAGACCAGTCTTCCTCGTTAGCCTTCTCGGCTGTCTGATCATATCAGAATGGACCGCTTGGGCCGATTCATTTCCTGCGTAGACTGCGGGCCGTATCCTGTACGGGTTCTTCGTTGGACCTTGTGAGGTGCTCCCTGAGATCAGCATTCCCGACACGTATTTTGCGCACGAGCGCGGAGCATACGTCGGCATCTACTCGATGGTATTGCAAGGAAGCAACTTTTTCGCCCCCTTTGTGTCAGGATTTATCAACGACGCACTCGGTTGGCAATGGGTTCAGCACGTTTGCGCCATTTTCTTTGCTTTGAATCTCATATTGGCCTTTTTCTTCCAGGAAGAGTCCATGTTTGAGAGACAGACTGCTGAAGTAGACGTTGATCCGCAATCGAATGAAGAGCCTAGACATTCCGACATGGCTAGAGTTGGGAACTCGTCCGTCATCCAGGCCACCGTTGGTACTCGTGAACCTGCAGACGATGAAAAGGCCACGCCGACTGGAATCGCCAATACCAGAGATGAGTCAGCGGGAGAGACTTACACGGTCAAATCCTATCGTCAAAAGCTGGCATTGTATACCCGCAGTGGTCTCACCTTGAAGCAATGCTTGCGCATCGCATATCGGCCAATCTTCATCTTCTTCCAGTTTCCCTGCATCACATGGGCGGGACTACAATATGGGTTCACAAACGCCTGGTATGTTGAACAACTGATCTATTCCCACGACTCGGCTTGGACCCATAGTCTGACAGAGTTACTAGGTATTCCGTTTACAACGCCACTGCATTCTCGATACTTTCACCGCAGCCTTATTCCTATCGTGCCTCAATGGTGGGCGTCACCTACCTTGCTCCACTTCTTGGGGCTTTGATCGGCGGTTACGTCTCGGGCCCGGTATCAGATTCCTTCAGCATGAGGTTGGCACGCCGGAACAAGGGATTTCGCGAGCCAGAGCACCGTTTGTGGGGAATTTCATTCACTGCAATCATCTTGCCGCTAAGACTACTGTTATGGGGAGTCGAAGCTGCATTCTCGCTGCCCATAGGTGTCCTGATGCTGGGATCCGTTTTCTGCGGCTTTGGGATTGTGACCGGAGGGACATATTCCATCACGTATTCGGTTGACGCCTTCAAGGAGATTGCTGGCGAGTCAATCGTTTCACTCATCTTATGTCGCAGTACGCTCACTTTTGGGTTCAGCTATGCCATCACGCCTTGGATCGATGGGGCAGGATTGCAGAATACGTTTATCGTGGTTGCAATCATCTCTTTCTTGACGGGTATGTCTTTCCTGATCATGATCTGGAAAGGGAAGCAGCTGCGCATATTGTCGGAAGCTAGGTATTGGAGATATGCGGCAATGCAAGTTGTGAGGCACTGACGGAATTCAACGCGGCTTTGGGATTCACATCAGGACAAATGGGAACTTGGAAGGATCTTGTGGGAATTATGTGTGCCGTACGGTTGTTAGTCCAAGGCAGAGCTTGATACTGAAATAATTAGCAAGTACATACATAGCATCAACTTTGTAATTAACTATTTAGCTGCTATGCTCTACTAATGCTTTTCCTAACGATGAAGTATGACTGTCACGCTCAAGACTACGATATCCAGTGATCAAGTGATATACATTGCTTGGCGAAGAAAGAAAATCCCAGTGGATATCACAGATATGGTGGCGCCGAACTGCAACCTACTATTAGTATTACCCAAAACCTGCTGACACTCATTTCCGGTATTATCTTGGACTACTCCAGATCGAACTCGCTGGCAATTCACAGGCTCTGGAGCAACGCCTGAAAGGCATCATCGGCCCTAGACTCTTCCATGGCGTCAATGATACCTTCCAGTCGCTGCTTCAAGGCGTTGCTAGCTTGAGCCAGCATCCATTCTCCCGCCTTCCTGGGAATCCACGGCGGCAGTGAACAAGGAACCCAGTCTTTGTGGGTCTCGCTTCCCCAGATGGGCTGGGTACGGCGGCGGTGGTAGTAGTAGAAGTACTGGAGAAGGTGAGTGCAGGAAGGACAGCATAGCCTACTCGAAGGCATGATGGCAATGTCGTCCTGAAATAGATCCGTGACTTCCTTTTCCGGGAGGACCATGCCGCTGTTTATCGAAGCTGGACTGAGGTTGTTTCTGACTCTGGCGAGGAGCTGCAAGCAGAGCATCGTACCTTCGCAGTGGTATCCGCCACTGAAATAGGTACTGTCGAAGTTGTACTCGCCGATCATGAGATTGGTGCTCTTGTTTTTCGAGTTGATCCATTCCAGGATCTCTCCCAGGGGATCAGTGTGTCCTAGGTCTTCCTCGCCGGCAGACCCTAATTCCTCTTCTAGGAGTTTTCTGATAGACATCATCTTTTGGTCGTCGTGTTCTGAACTGACTTCAATCAGATGAAATTCGCCCTTTCTCATGATATTCGACATGTATTCCCTCCAGTTTGGCTCCTCGCAGATTTCTACCCTATCAAGTTCGACGTGTGCGGAGGTATCCCGGAGAACGAGACGCAGGTAGTTGACGGCTCCATTTGCCCAATCATCTTGTGAAAGCTCAGCCAATTTGACGAGGTCTGGGGAGTATTCTGGATTTCCCTTGTCGAGTCTTTCCTCAGCCTCCAATGCCCCCGAGAAGTCTTCGACGGTGTCATCCGAGGAGCTAGATTTGGCGTCTGAATGTGTGGTCTCCTCGTTGAAGAGTTCAGAGTCGTTCCGACGAAGTCCACGTTCCATCCATTTGAAATGATGAGGCAGTATCTTATTGAACCCGAGGCGAAGTTGGGACAGGTGATTTGTCCAATCTGATAACCGTACAGCGGCACGTTGGAGGCTAGAGACGTCGGGCTCTCTGGATCCAATACCTAAGAGGATATCGGTCTTTCTGCGGTGGCAATCCCACTTTTGCTTCAATAAGTCTTCGACTGCTCTAGCCAATCCATCGAGAAGGCGTGTGATGATGTGGTGGAAGGTCACTCTCCCAGTAGCATCATACCATGCCGCATCAGGTCTTGGATAGCTTTCCAGTTTGTGGTCTCGTCGATGTTGCTGGAGGAAGTTCACGACAACTCTCAAAATATGGTTTTGACACCGTGTAAGAGGTTTTACCGGCGGAAGGGAACGGCCCTCAAAGGCCCATCTACAATAGGAGATGTCCTGAGTGAGAATGGTGTAAAATTTCCTGGTCAAAGCCGGCTTAGCAGCCTCTCTTCTCATTCCTAGAGTCTCTATGCCCTTCCCACAAACGATTGGGCTACTTTGAAACAATCGATTGTGAATCTTCTCACAGCTCAGAATAGCAATGTAGTCGAGTAGGTTTTCGGCAGGAATGTCCAGTTCGTCGTCAGTCTGAGCTATGCGAGTCTGCCTCAACATGCCAACGAGGCTATCCATGTGTACCGAGAACGTTATCCTCGACCGCAGCTTCCCATCTTCGGTCGTCTTCTCGATCATGTCAACATAATACTGTGCTGCTGCATCCGCACACGGTGGAAGCGCTGTGCCCGTTAGTTGTGTCTTTCTGCACAGTAGTTGGCTCTGGCGAGTCTCCCTGGATGCAGTCTGGGATGCCGTTGCAGGTGCGGGAACGTTGCCTAAGACAACAACGCGTGGGGGTTTTGTACGGTCTCCAATGTTGAAAATAGTGGTAGCGACCTCATTTTTGTATGGGACGAGTTGGGCGAAGGCGAACAAGTAAGGGTAAGCATCGGAAGACAAGTTCACTTTTCTACCCCTGAGAAGGCCTAGACTGGACGGGTATGCGATGGGCAAGTCATTTGTTAAAGACAGAATTTGGGTGAGCGTACGGTACCTCAGTAATTCTTCTCGCGAGAGGAAGTCCATCGTCGTTGTTTCTTGAGACATTTGTCGTGCCCGACGACGGTGCTGACAAAGACAGTTGTTGGATTGTTGGATTGTTGGTGAAATTTGTGTAAAGTCCAGGTGTAAGTCGGGTGGTTGAAAGGCAAGCGGGAGAAATTTCTGAAATTTCTTCGGTGACACAAGAGATTAACGGCAGTGTCTATTCAGAAAAGAAATCGCGGGAAACAGGGAAACAGGGAAACAAGTAACCTTAAATGGACACCATCCGTGGGTTCTGTATGTGTTTGTTCGCCCTTGCAGCTAAGTTCTCGAGATATAAAGACCAGGAAGACAAGGAAAATGAAGACCATGAAAGACACGAGACTCAGACAAAGTCTTTGTAAACGACCAGCTTTCAACATGATCTGAAGCCGCCAATTATACCATTGTTCTCATGTGTTCGAATCTTGTTGTCATGGACCAAGGGGCACAAGTCAATGTTTCTCATTATAATGGATGAGTACCCGTGAGGCGCGGCTCAGGAGATGAAATCTTTGCTTAAGACACCCTTTCGGATCTTTTCCTCGGGTGCAATCAGCGTCAATCCATAGTCAAGTCCATGGATGTCTGCAGAGGCTATTTCCAATGCCCCTTGGTGGAACGGCAGGTTCGAACTTTTGGGGAAACGAAGATGCGTTTCCCACTCTGCTGGCACATTGGAACTCGTGTGGCCGAAGCCATCAGCCTCGATTCAATGATGACCAAAAGTTGGGTCGACTGAGAAAGACTCCCTTCTGTTGTCACGGATAGAACATCGGCCCCGATTGCGCTGATAGCTGCAAGCTGACTCGGCCACGGAGTGCTCTAGAGAGCCATGGAACCTCCAAAGCTTCTTTGGGGGGTATGGGATGAGGCCATATACATTGCGGTGCTGGACAGCAAGGTACGGCCCGGCGTGGTAGGGTGAGCGTGGGGCCACCTTCTCTCGAGATTGTGCAAGAGCCTGACACTTCTGGTTGCGGGTGGTCAATTATCCCGCGAAAACGCCGCGAAACGGGTAAGACATGTTTGATCCGCAACGGGTTCTAGATTCCATCGCTGCTCTGGAACCAGGTCAAGTGGGTGACACAATGGATTGCCGCTCAACACGAAGTACCTAGCTCTATTTCTATTATCATTATTATTATTATTATGATTTTGTAGTTCTTATATATTCCACATAGAATATATTTAAGAAAGTATAATACAGATAACTATAATAAGAATAATAAAAGTAGTAATAAGAGTAATAGGAATAGTAGAAAAGAGATAGGGAGGGTATTGAGCGGCACCCATTTTGTCACCCACTTGCAGGTGCCGACTGTATACGAAAATCGGAACCGAAGGCGAAACCTTTTGGATGGCATTCGACTTCTTGAGCCCGCCGTTCCAGAGAATGCAAAACAAGTGTGTGTTGATTGACCTCGTGATTCCGGACTCACCAAACGCAGGCTGGGAAAGACTTCAGGACAGTAGGCAGATTGGCTGCCTGGTAGAGGAGCGTTCGGTGGCGTCGCGATGTGGCTCTCCTGCCAGTTGGGAGTGTTAGCAGCCACCACATCCGAAAACCATGATAACCATGTCAGTTTCATTGTTTCATGGTTGGACATGAGTCGCGGGAAACAGAGGCGGTTGGAACTCGCGACGAGCGCATCGCGATAAACGCGAAAGAGTTGTCTACAGAGTCAAGGGTTTCACGGAACTCTGAATGTCACGGATCGGGGAAATAACAAAAGCAATGTTGCATGCAACGTCCCGCAATGTGTTTCTGTCTTGGCCATCCGGGGAAACAAAGCTTGTGAGTTGTGACACCTCAGCTTGCCAAAGCTTGCTTATGTAAGGTGAGCTACCAGAGCTACGGTAAAAGCTGTCTACCTACGGAGTATGTCTACTCCGTACCTATGCTCCAGGTCTTGCATCTCGTCAATTGGTCAATGTTAGCACGTTAGGTAAGGACCTTCAAAGGTACCTAAGGGAAGATATTCGTAGGCTCCTCCGCTATCGCATCCTTTTTGCTGACGAAGGACCCTAGGTGAAGGATGCGGTAAGCGGTGCACGCCAGATACGGCAATACGCGGCACTTGGTGCCGGACTGAGCTATCCGAGCGTCTTATCTGAGAGAGTGAGATGCAAGACGCTGACACGCGCGACCCTCGTTGCGAGCACTGAGTTGTGCATGCATCGGAGGTACCGGATATGTATCGCGGAAAACGCCGAATGCGGGACAAGGCTACAATGCAGGTCGTCATAGCTCCCCCCCTTTCCATGAGCTAAACTGCGGTGAGCCCTGTGGTTGGGTAAGCCGCGGGTGGCTCTCCGAACCCGAAAATGTGTGAGACACCAGTGACTGTGAGGTGCCAGGTGCTTCTTTCCCCAGGGCCCAGCGTCCAAAAGCTGACAAACTGTGCACCGTCACTCGCACTCTGGAACCACAAGAGCAAGACCGACCCGCCTCCACCACGCCTCCCCGTCCACTTCACGGTACGTCGCATGCATTTGCTCCGACTCGGTCGTCCGCCTTCAAAACTTTTCCCACATCGCCAGCGTCGCCCCCGTGACAATTCCCTGATTCCTCTTCTGGTGTACACGTCGAATTACACTGCTCGATAACCCCAATCAGTCCCAATCACCCCTACGAGACGCCTCACAACCGACCGATAACTCTCCTTCTGAATAGTAGCTTCACTCTAGCATGCGTTAACAGGCGGGTTGGGGGAACCGCAGAAGAGCAATTGCCATGGACTACTCCGACTACTCGCCGCAGCGCATTCTGCACACGGGCTCGTTCACCGGATTCCATCGCCTGGGACAGCTCGGTAGCAATTATCTTTCTGCGACTGCAGAAATCAAGCAGCCGCTATGCGGTAACGAAGAGGGTTGGGGTCCGCTGAGCCCTATTCGATATGACTTTACACCCTGCTTCATCGATGTCTGGATCGCCTCTGTCGCAGCATTTGGTCTCGTCTTTGGATCTCTGGCCATTGTATGGCTCATACAACGCAGAAAACCTTCCGATGCCCCGAAGGACTGGCATTTTTGGGTCAAGCAGGTGAGTGCTCTCTTGTCTTGTCTCTTGACTCCGTAGCTGACCAGCCGCCCCTTCAGACACTTCTCGGATTGATCATTGCCGACGTAACAGTACAACTCGCTTTACAAATTGTCAGTTACCCCGACGTCTGGTTTGGCGACTTCCGATTTTGGACAACAGCTGCGACAATCCTATCTCTGGGCGTTATCTTTGCCATTCAATGGCTCGAGCATGCGCGCCTGCGTAACCCCAACGGTGTCGTTCTCTTCTACTGGCTCTTCCTCTTGATCGCATACGCAGTCAAGCTCCGATCCTTGATATCTCAGCAGCTCTACGAGACCAGCCCAGCCTACTTTATCACTTATACTGTCGGCTTCGGCCTCTCGATAGCCGAATTCCTGGTCGAGTGGCTGTGGCCAAGAAAGGTCAGCGCATACGAGGCTCTGATCGACGAGGAAGAATGCCCCATTGAATATGCCACTGTATTCTCTCAGTTGACATTCTCCTGGATGACGCCTCTGATGCGCTATGGATACAAGAAGTACTTGACTGAAGATGAACTTTGGGGGCTCGCTCAGCAAGACCAGACCAAGAACACTGGCGAGGCGTTCAACAAAGCTTGGGAGTACGAACTGAAGCACCACAAGAACCCATCTCTGTGGCTGGCCATGTTCCACGCCTACGGCGGTCCGTACGCCATAGCTGCGCTCTTCAAGGCTGTCAACGATGTTACGCAATATCTTCAGCCACAACTTCTGAAGTACCTTATTGCATTCATAGCTTCCTATGACCCTGAGAATGATGAGAAGGAGCAACCTCCGATCAAGGGTGCTTCCATTGCCTTGGCAATGTTTGCGTGCGCCGTTTT